TCTTGGCTTTAATACCTTGGTTCGAGGCACAGCTGAGATAGTACAGGATTGTTGCTTACTGTTGACTGCCGTTCCTATGAAGTTATTTTAGAGTCTATAACATATGACCCTAAATCTATATCACAAAAACTCCCCCCTCACCTCCAAGCTAAAAGATAAAGTACCTTTACCTTGATTCTGGCCTGATTTGTTGACTGATTGACTTAACATTGGGTCTCAACGGGTGAAGCTGCATGGAGTCCTTTCTGATACACTGTTTGTTCCTCCACTGGGTGTCTGCATGGCATTGTCACAGTTAACACCATTATAGTGTATATTAAAGTTATAATGAAGGATCTTATTTATCTGGGTGGATCATCAAAAAAAGTGGTTCTCCTAATTGTCAATAATTGTGGTGATATGTTAATGTTAGGCTGTCCTACGTGCTTGTCCCCATTTTCACTTGAAGGAAAGAAAGATTGTATAAGCGATGCAAACAGCAACTTTTAAACAGAGTGTACGAGAAGGAATGAGCTTGTGCATGCTCTCACATGCGTTTAATAGGCGTTTCCTCTCAGGAGCAGGTACAGGGTTATACATGTGCTTTTTTTTAATAGCGGAGAAACTAGCAAAAATCCTTCACAATATCTTTAAAGTTGCTGACGGTACAATTATTGTATCCCTCATCAGCAGTGGTGACCCTGAAAACAGGAGCGTGCATCAGGGACTCCTGTGTGTTCTCATTTTTAAGGATTAATGTCTCCTAAATAAAAAAAAAAAGCTGGATATAGACTTTAGGAGGAACTTTATTGTATCAAAGCTGATAATCAGTTTTGATGCAAAAACAAAGTTAAAAGCAATTACAAGTGTATTGTTTCAATGTGAAAGACAGAGTCTTAATAAGTGTTCTCATTTTTAACATTGTCTGATGGTTTGAAATTTAACTGTCAAATATAGGAGTACTGATTCAGTACAGTTTCTTCAGATTATCACTAAATTATGGACAAAGACTGCTGGAATACACCTTATAAACATCACTAACCTGTAAAAGACTGGATCTAATGTTAAAGTAAAGCAGTTACTGGTGCTTATGAGTTCCAGTTTCTTCCTTCTTGATGGAATGTTGTTCACATGTGTCAGAAACACAGATTTAAATCAATCTTTTCCTTCTGCAGATATAAAATGTCATAATGATTTTTGAAGTTTTCCTTCTTATATATGTATGTATAAGACATTCATGGTGTTATGTTGGTCTGACAGGGTTTTATATCTACTGTGCTGCACAACAATTACCCCCAAAGGCAATATTTCATCTTACATGCATCTACAGTTGACTTTGGAAATCTTAAGAAAACATAATAAAGGACCTTTAAAAAAAGCCTATTTCTTTTGTCCCAGAACATGAGGTCACATCTTTCGTTTGAGGTCCATGTTCAGCGTAAAATACATGATAGAATTAGATTAATTTCGTCTTTATAACACTGAAATGTGCAATATCAATCAACTCAGGAGAAAATAAATAAGAAAAAAAAAGAATAAATCGGAGCAAAACTAATCCCTTTAGAGGTGTGGAAATGTTTTTTTCAGTTACCTATTGAAGCCTGCTGGTAAATAAAGGTAATTATTCAATGATCTTTTGCTGGCTATTTGATGGTCAACATGTAATAGGTTAAGTATGCCAGTGTTTAGAGAGGTGTTGCTAACTCAGCATCAACCTTACAATTTTTCAGTGTTAACTCCTGGTGCTGATTGTAAAGGCTGTTTTATTACTTAACTCCCAATCTGAAAGTTTATCAGTGGTTCTTAGAATTTCAAAAAGTAGAATTGGAGGGAGATCTTTGAGTTTCAGGCTCCTCTAATGTGGAACCAACTACCAGTTTTAGTCCGTGAGGCAGACACCCTGTCTACTTTTAAGGGTAGGCTTAAAACTTTCCCTTTTGATAAAGCTTATAGGTAGTGGCTCCAGAACATCCTTATAGTTATGCTGCTATAGGCTTAGACTGCTGGAGCACTTAGGGACGCCTTTTTCATAATTCTGCTTCATTCTATCTCTATTTTTCCACTCTGCAGAATTTGAATGCTATGCTCCTTCTGCTCGTTGTCATGGTAACTTGATCTGGTCTGTTCATGTTTGGCACCATCCAGGAATGAAATATCAGTTGCGCTGCTGCTATCAACATCTTGGGTTAAATGTTGAGCTTGGCCTGTTTTTCAGTGTAGTCCTGTTTCTCACTGTATGTGCTCTTTTCATCTTCTGGCGTGGGAGCTGGCTCGGAGCTCGTCTGCCTGGCTGTGTGTTTTCCTGGTAATGGCCACCTGTGGAGCTGGTTGACAGTTACCTTTTGTATCTGTCATGCATGCTTCTGTCTCCTTGAACCCCAGTCGGCCTCGGCGGATTACCGGCCACACAGAGCCTTGTTTTGCTAGAGATTTCTTCCTGTTACAAGGGAGTTTTTGCTCTCCACTGTTGCTATTAGCATTCTTAGTGTGAGGGATTGCTTTCAAGTCGATGAGTCGATGCAATCACCTGGTTTTGCTTAGATAGAAAACTGTGAATCAGTTTAACTGTATGATCTGGTTGAATTGTTTCTGTAAAGTGCCTTGAGATGAAATGTCTTATGAATTGGCACCATATAATTAAACTGAACTTAATTGAATTGATTATTTTTCAACTGAATGAGTGCTAAAACAGTGCTATTGTTAGCTCTTATTCCGGTTATTTCCAGAGCTAAAAGTAGTGACTGAAGGAGGCAAGCTGGAGCTACCTCAGTGCCAAGTTTTAGCTGGACCAAAGGAAATAACTGCTTTAATAGAGACAAAAATAGAGACCATTAATCTATCCATCCATTATCTATAACCATTTATAGACAGACTTACAAGGGGCTTACTTACACCCAAGTTTAGTTTGTAGAGAACAATAAACCCAACAGTCATGTTTTTGGACTGTTGGAAGGAGGCCAGACCACCCATGTAGAAAATATAAAAAGGCAATGCTCCAGGATGGGATTCAAACCCAGAATACTGTGTTACTAGTTAAACAATGATGTTGGTGCCATGGGTAGTGTAGCTTTTTTATGCCATATGTAGGACAAAAACAAATTAAGCAATGAATGGTGATTTCATAAAACCATCTGTTGGTACTATATGTGTGCAAAACAGATTTTGTGCAGTGATGTAGTCCAAAAGTTGACACAAAAGCAGGTTTGCTCCTGAAATAGACCTATAAAACAAACAGCTTTTATCTGGTGCAATTTCTACCCCATGGAGCAGTACATGAAGGGGAAATGTAGTCTTTGTTTATTTGCTTAAATAAAGAGAATAAAAAGCACAACAATAATTTAAAAAAAAAACATTGTTATTGTTATCTTGCAGAATACATTCTGCTGGTCAATTTGGAAAAAAGATTTGAATGATTTGAATGATTTGATCTAATTAAGTTTCTTTCTATTTTTTCTTTTGTTGGATTACAGGATCCATAACTATTTGATGGTCATTTCAACAGTTAATGCTTGAAACACAGACTGGCCCAAAAACCATTTTATTATGTCAGGCGCTTCTGTATTTGTGGCAAGATCTATGAAGTTTGACCAAAAACAGGTATCTGATCATTCATCTGGACTAGATGAACATATTCTAGATTGTCAGTCTATAATCAAACAAATGGAAAGGTGGAATAATAATTTAACAAAAATTAGCAAAAGGTTAACATTTCAAGTTTATAGTGTTAATTGTGACACATAAAACCATTAATAACAAATGGCATTTAAATCTCAATCTATAAACAGGTGTCCTGCTTGGTAAGCTTTATGTAATTCCCATTTCCATGGCTGCTGATTAAAACTGTAAAAACCTTGAACAAAGGCTCCAGGTTGCTTTAAACTGTAGCTGTCGCGTCTATATTGTAAAACAGTATTTGCAGGAATACTTAGATTGGATTTGTGTAGTTAAAACTGTTTTAGTGCACTATAGTTCTCTCCCAAAACTATCTTTTAGCGACGTAGTGATGGGACACCATGCTGCTTCTCTGGCTGTAAAAATCTAGACAGTTTTTAACTGTTTCACTGAAACAGATCAAGAACAGCATCCATGGCGTAGCCCTGGAAGTGAAGCATCACACTCTGAGCATACAGTGGGAGCAATGGTAGAGCTGAAACATAGCGTCTTATAAGAGGCATTAAAATACTGAAAGGAAAATGCTTTTTTAACATAAGTGACAAACTCCCATTTCGATTTAGCTGATTATACATTTGAAATTATTGTAGAAGTACGTTTTGGAACGAATGCCACTGCTTGTTTAAATTAATGCACATTAACCTCCACAGCAGTGACTCAAACATTATAAAGCTCATGTATTTGGAGGAGCAAATACAATTTCTCATTGTAAATGGCTCAGACTGGGAAAAAAGTCAGGCTGTTGAATGGATCTCTGCCTGGCTCCCTTGCTCCCTCGCCAGTGACAGGATTAATGAGTTAATATGTAGTCATTGTGTGAGCTGGATATACTCACACATGGTGCACTGATATCCTACATCAATAGGCTATTGCAAGTTAATGACCAGATCTGTGAAGGCCCATTTGCAGGAAATATGGACGGAGTAAAAAAGGAGCAGGGAAAGCAGGTGCTCCTGCCGTTGAGCAGCTCATAACTGAGCAGCATGCTGGTGGAGAATCTCATTTGGCTGTGCACTCTCTCACAAAGACTCAGCTCCAGCTGAAAGCCATTCCTACCATGTTGTGATGACTTCGGACCCTCAATGAACGCTCCTCTTGTTGCTTAAAAAGTGTATAGGAATTTACATAATCATCTGTAGGTAAATGAGAGTTCTGAGCTGCTCCTTCTTCATTTGAATAGAAATGATAGCACTTTTAGCTGTAAAAGGAAATCAGTGAAGTAATCGTGAAGGGGAGAGAAACTGCTCGGTGAAAAGCCTTTGCCATCCATCTTTTTCGTTCTGCTGCCTCCTGCTTTCATACCGTGAGGTGATGGAATGAGTGACAGACACCCACAGCTGAACATCCAAAACATTTGGGAACATTTTCTTTTTATTTCTGGGAATTGTTTGAAGTCAAGGGAGCAGAAGACAATAATTAACTGGTTTAAAAAGCCAGGAACCAACACACACACACACAACTAAAAGATGAGAAAAGGAAAAAAAAAAACACACTGAGTGACTGATTTGCATGTAAATGAATGAAAACAACTAATTTCTGCAATAAATAAGGACATAAAAAAGAAAAGAAACCAATTGAATTCCCGGAACATAATGTCATATAAATGAGACGTGAAATTAACAATACATATGAAAAAAAAGAGGCTAATTGACATGTTGAGCAGACAAGACAGTAACGTCACAGTAAAAACGAAATTAAAAGCAAAGAAACAGGAGCTGTAAATCAGTAAGGTGCCAGCAAAGATCTCCAAATCCACCATGATCAGTCTTTATTATCTTATACCTTTAGATTTTTTTTTAAAGATTTCCAATAAAAAAATAAATAACATGATGAAAACATAATTTTAGATAAAGACCCTCACAGAATATCTGAGGGAAGTGTAGACAGTGCCAGATGGTTTCATGCGACTGAAGATAAATGCCATCCTGAGAGACTGGACCTCCGGTCTCTCTGGACTTGTTGCTGTGGACATCCATTATTCACTCCCGGACAAACATGTTGCTACAGCAGAAAAAAAGTAAAAGCTAATCCAATGCATAACTGCCTGGATATGATGAGGATCTAAAAAAATTAAAGATAAAAAAATAAATAAAACACAGAAACCAGATTTTTTTTCTTCTGTACAGTAGGTCACCAAGCACACTGGTGAGCTGTAATAAACTATGTAAACATTTTTGTTTTGACACAGCTTTGAGTGAGAACTGAAGAAAAAAAGAAAGAAGCCAACTTGGTCACATTGTACGTTTTCACCGAACCATTTTTTTCTTCTTTAAACGTGTCAATTACACTATTTTTAGACACACAGCATGATTTACCTGAACACAGCATGTCAGTTGAAACGTCAAATAAAGAAAACTAAAAATGTGTGATATATGGGCATCAACAACGGCTTGTTTTTAAAAGTCCCAAGTGAAACTGGGCCAATATTATTAAACCAATGATATGTTTTTTGGGGACATGTTACAGTGGTAGTGATGCGGTGCGGGTAGTAGTAGTAGTCAGTAGTAGAATTGAATAAAATATTGATATCTGTAAATATTGGCCAGAACAGCAGTAAAACAATTGGATATCGATCCATATTTCATATCGGTCCATTCCTACAAAACACATCAGAGATTTTATTACTAAGAGATTCCAATTTAGAGAAATAACTATGAACTTTTCTGAAAGCTTACAAGCTTGAACAAGATCTGGAACTTGGATGCAAAAGGAGCGAAAAATACAGAGATACATGAAGCTTCATTCTGCTGCTGCAGCAACTGAACACTGTCTTTTCAACCCCCGATAGGCCTTGATATTCTTTGACAACAAACAGAAAACTATTCATTTTAATAAATAAATAAATAAAGGGAGAAAGAAAACCAAACAAACCAGAAATAAAAAGACGCTTTTAAACATATGCGTACTTTATCTCATGTCGCATTCATGACGGCTACATTTAAAGAACCGTTTGAATAGCAAGGAAAAAAAAAATTGTGTTTTGACTTCCAACTTTCCCCAACAATCATGATTTCTTAAGGTCTCTCACTTACACAGATGCCAGCACCACATCACATACACCTCACATGCATGCTCAGAATGGCCAAAATGACAGTGATCGTATTTTACAGCGTTACAATGGACAGGATCAGTAGAACTCCAAGGATTACACACCTCTTCACAGTCACTTGGGGTGGTGTGGGGTGTCTGAGTGAAAATTCACACTGCCGAAAGTCTCCAGCGAGGACTTTTCAAATTGTCCCGATGAAGTTGTACTGCATTGTCTCTTTTTAATGCTTACAATAGTAAGTGTGCTTCCGTGAGCTGAAGTTCATCTGTAAGCGACTCGGAGAGTCTAGAGTTCTCAAGAAAATTCGTTCTATTTAAATTACAGTTGCCAATATGGTACTGTCAAAATGTTTTTTTTACTTTTGTTCCAAACAGTTTATTCGTGTGTTGTGAAATGATTGGATTTCTATACATAATATTCCTTATCCTTGTCTTTCGGTCTCTTGCTACCGGCGCTGCCTTTGGCGCTGCCGCTGGGTATTTTATCCTTCACTACAGCGCCATTGGTTTGCGCAGAGTTGCTGATGTAGTTGCGCGTTTCGTCCACCTGGTAGGAACCCTCGTCCCTGTTTCTGTACTTATACATAGCGTAGAGGAGAATGAGGATGCAAAGGGCGGCTGCTGAGACAATGCCTACCACCATGCCTGTAGTACTGCTGGACTCACGGATCACTTCTGACACTCCGGGTGGAACACGCCTCACCACGCCGGGCACCGTGGGCAAGGCGGCGGGTACTGTGCGCAGCATGGGTGACGTAATGAAAGGGCCCCTGGGCTTAGTGCCATCCACATCAAAGGATGTCGGTAGGGGCAGCAGGACAGGCATGTCTGGCTGTGGAGGTTTTACCTCACGGTTGTCCATTTTCCCCGCCGGCAGCTTGGGTGGTATATCCGAGGGGACCGCCGCCGGCGGTGTGCCCCGATTGTCAGGCAGAGGCAATGTTGGTGTAGTCCTACCTGCCTCTGAGGCTTTGCTAGGCCTCAAGTCCTTGGGTTCCCACTTGGGCACGAGAGCTTTGTAGCCGCCTTCATAAGCCGATGTGGTCAAGATCTTATCTGTTACCAGGGAGAAGGTGGTGTAAAAATCTTCATCGTCAGTCGGGGGCAGGCTAGAGTCGAAAGCTTCGCCAGAGCCAAACCCCGAAATCACCATGCCATCATCATCACCATCATCATCATCATCATCACCACCATCACAATCATCGCTGCCTCGATCCGAAAAGCAAGGTACCCCCGCCTCAGTGGCCATGGCCAAGGACTCTTTGGTGGTGTCGATAATGGTGAGGACGGGGCGGAGGGTAGGGGGAAGGGGGATGAAGGGTGAACGGGTGGATACAGAAGGAATGTCTATGGGGTCCTCGACTAGCACGGGGACGACTAGCTCCCCTCCTGCAAGCAGAAACAGAAAGAAAGAAGTCAAAGGATAGAAATGTTCCCACCACCTGAGCAAGAAGCAGTCAAACGTCCACAGAAAAACAGAACGGAAAAATGCAAGAAGCAAAGCTCGATATGAGAAAAAATAAACTGAAAAGGAAATGGAGAAAGAATAGAAAGTACTGTACCAGTGCAAAAACAAAGAAACCCAGAACCAAACAAGACCAAAACTAAAAGACAAAAAAGAAAAATAAACAGCCATAAATCAGGTTTACTTTGCATCAAAAGGCTTTGAGGGATGCACAAGGGTGAGCCACAGCAAACTGATCCTTCCTATTAACCCCTACGTTTCATACAGCACTATGTCATCCTGACTTATTATTTTTATATGCGGTGAGCTATACCTGCTGCCTATTCCTAATTACTTTGCGACTACATAAATAAAATAAAAACTATTGCAGATAATTTTTTTATTGAGTGTTAAGATCAAAACTGAATCTGGATTATAAAAAGAAACCGTTCTAAAATTTGTTGACAACAGAAATCAAGACCATTTACTTTGTTAATTGTATGAGTTTTAAATCTAACCACAACCATAACCGACAAACCACAGGTTTAATAATAATATCAAGTGTTAGTGTCTGGAATGGACTTTCTAACATGTTGCACATCACGCTATAGACAAGTGGTAGGGCTTCATACAGATTTCATTATAATTAACAATCTCTACTAGATTAGTTTTGCTAATTAAATGCTTTCACATATTTATGCAGTGATTGAAAGTGTAAAGAGATTGTACAGTGGACAGTTTTGGAGCGTATGTGAAGTGTCTTTATGGTCTTTGTTGTTGATATTTGCAGAAATCTACAGCGTAGGTCTGTATTCATACAGTGCAATGTCAATGGAGCCTTTTTATAAGGTTTGCAGGTCGTCAGCCATCTTCTGCTGTATCTGAACGGGTTAATTTAATCCCTACTGATTACTTAAACCAACTAAAAAATGCTATGTGTTTCTAATCTGATCTAGCTGCCTTCAGTGGGCTCCCCTAATTGTTCTAGCCTCTTGCCTTTTGACCCTACAGTCACCCCAATGGCACCGGGCAGTTCAGCGACACCTGAATGCTTGCTGACATGTCTGGCTTTAATCTTGCTGGAACAGCTTTTACTCCCTTTTTTTTGCATCTAAAGCAAAGCATGGAATTTATTTCCCTTAATTGTCTGTTGCTAATAAATCCATTTACTCAAAAGCACATCTACAAAGAGTCTGAAACATTCAGATGTCAGTTGAAGCTGCGTTTCCTCTTGCCAAAGTGGCTTGTTTGTACATTGCAAGGGCTCACAAACGGCACTATAAAGAGATGCAAACCTTTTGGAACAATAAAGAAAAACAAAAAAGGAAACGAAAGAGAAACAATGAAATAATATGAGAGTAATTAAAGCATTGCAAAGAGACGTCGGAATTAAAGCAAAGATTGTAAAAAAAAAGAAAAATATAAAAATAAACATTCACAAAGTAAAGCCACAGATAGAGCTATTCAGAAAAAGGATTAGTAGTAGGTAAGAAAAACAGGTAAAGAAAACCAAAGTCAGCTTGTAAAATCATAAAAGCCTACAGAAAAAGGAAGAAAGCATACCATCAGCTTTATTCAACTTACATCAACAAATTGCCCGCATGATTTTGGCAGGAAGAAAACAAAATTTACAAAAAAAAGTTGTGTAAGAATGCCTTTGGACAGGTTAGATTCTCTTTAACATCTTCTGGATATGTAGTTATATTATTCTCTGTTTAGACATGATGGTATAGGGAGGCAACAACACATACATCCACACACATGACATGAAAGTAATCTTCGCCATTCTGCTCAGGAGGTCTTTTTTTTCTACTTTTAAGTTATGTTGTTTTATAAAAAAAGAAAACTGTACATTTAAGATTTCTACTTTTATCATTAAACCTCTGTAAATATCTACAGCCAGATTAGATGACTCTGTAGCTTTGTTCTTCTTTTTTTTTTGCTCAACATTAACTTGTTCATCAGTCGTGAACAAAATGAACTGTACATATCTTAAGAGTCTCTATATTAAGGGTTCGGGAAGAAGGAGTGTGAGACGGGGTGGGACCTATGAAGATACTAGGAAGGAAATGACATAGATGGGGGTGAACGTGTACATCAGTTGCCATGTCCATGTAAAGGCGGCACGAAGCGGTCGGGCGGCATTAGAGCTTTTGGCTGTAAGGAAGGGATGGGGATATACAAACAATGAGCATATACATGCCCATCTACAAAAGAGAACAGCACTCTCAACACTGACAGTTTTACAAACCCTAAGCTGCAACTTCTTTGCCATGCACAAAAAATTCAACATTCATTGATTAGATCCAATATTTCAAATTAGAAATAGCTATTCAAAAACAGGTGAGATAAAGATAAGCATAGAAACAGTTTGGAAGAACTTTCAATAATCGCAGTGGGGGTCTACTCTTAAGGTGGCTTCTCTTTTTTCTCTATGATGGCACCAATTTAAAAAATCAAACACGAGAATTTGAAATTCAATGATAAAAACCTTCTAAAATAGGAAAAATACTTCATAGGGAAAAAAGGAAGCATCTTTCTTATAAAAGGGATAATTCAAGATTTTTAAAGTGAGGTTTTTGTTTCAATGATCTAAGGATTATTATCTTACCTGCAGTAGATGCGTATTTTGGCATTTGTATTTTGGATAAATTCATGGCAAGTCCGAGAGGAACAGACACCAAAATTGAACAACTTTTATTTAAAAAGAAAAAACTCAAAGCAGTTTGCAGCAATGCCTTTTTATCTACATTTATACTATTGCCATATCTGTTTAGCAGTGAGACCATTCAACTTCAACAGCAGATCACAGTAGACATAGAATAGTTATATTTTGGTAAAAAATAGGCACAACTGGACGTCATTTTGAACTGACATTAGTTGCATGGAGTTTGAGGAGATCCTACAATAGCCTACAATAAAGTTAAGTTTATTATTATATTGTCAAAGTCTAACAGAGAGATTTTAGTCCTTTCCATATGGCTGTGTTAGTGGAAGTTTTAAAATGCACTAAGAATCTGCCGCATAATAACTTGACCATGTGACACCAATTCCATATTCAGGAAGATTGAAGGGAATTTTGCACAACTGAACAAAAAAGACTATCATAGCATATGATGCCATTTCTGCTGAATAGTTGATTAAGTTGTGGGGAAACAGGAGACTGATAGATGCTTCCAGAAACCATCAAATAGCTTCTTAGTGGGTTCTATGTCCAGGAAATCTGCATCTTTTCACAGGTAAGACCTTCCATGGAGGGACATGCCTGGTTGGCCAATCAGAGACTCATTTGGGATAGTCAATGAAAACATGGATGCCTCTACGCTTTCCTTAGAAGTATTTTTAGAAACAGAAAAGCTAACAGTGTCTCTGTATTCATGACACTATGTTATCACTAAGACAGTAGTTAGATAACGTGATTATAAGGTTTAAAACAGGCAATTATTCCACTCAATTAAAGGCATTCAAGCTCTTTCATTATTTGAAGTAACTAATTAAGTTTTAGTTTATAACATTATTTTATAACATTCCTTAATCTTAAAATTTACAGATTAAATTTTAATTTCTTTACATTTAAAGAAGGGATGCACAATATCGGCACCAACATCTGTGTCAGTGGATGGTTTAACATACTGGAATTGGGCCAATTTTGATAACTAATGTCTAGTTTCAATCTTTATTTCTTTAGGCATCTGACTGTGACATTGATGCATGGTGGGACTATTAAATATTTACCTGTATCAGAAAAGTAATGCCAGACTGCTATCTTTTCATCATAGAAATATATATATTTATGCATCGTATCAGGAAATGTCACTGTGACAGCAATATTAATATAGCATTTTGTCCTGATTTTCCTATTGGTGCATACCTGCTTTAGAGTTAAGTATGATCTTCCTTTGAGATTGAAGCTGTAAGAAACTAGAAGTCCTCTTTTGTCTTGCCCCCTCTTGAAATAGCTATAAGCTTTGACTTCCAGAACAAACTAATCTGGACTCATGCTAAGACGGGAAGACGTGCATCTACTGCAGCAAAGACATTAAATCCTCAAAATTTGAACAAAACCCCACCTAAAAAAATCCTGAACTAACCCTTTCAAAAAGAAAGAAACAATCAAAACATTAGCACTTCTAAGAAAATTAGCAGTGTTAAAAAATTGCACATTATCAGAAAAAAAGGAACATAGTTTTGCATATATGAGTGTTAACATATATGCAGAAAAAAAAAGACGAGAAGCAAGCAAGAAACAAAGAAAGAGAGAAAGAAAGGCATTAAATCTCTCACACTATCAAAGATGAACAACCAGAAAGCACACACTGAGGCAGACAAAGAGAGGGGGGGACAGCTTATAGGTAAAATGTCACCACCTTCATATAACTAATAATAACCTTATTATTAGTTACTTTATTACATTTCTCTTGTTAGTATTTTTAAACACAGGACAGGGCGTGCAGTCTGGATGTACGTCAGAGAAAGAGAGGAAAAAACAGGTGGGTTCTATCGTTTGTCTCTTTGGATTTTAGTTCCACTGTAAGAAGTTGGGTTAATGCATGCTTTAAGTAAGTTGCATTTAGGGAGAGTAAGATACAATAACAATACAGCAAGCTAGGGGGGATAGGTGAAGAAGGAAGAGTTTCTGTGGTCAGTATAGAGCGCTGCCATCAAGGGCTGTGGGGTATTTTCTCAAGCAAAACCATTCATTAGTTGTTAACAGGGAGAGAAGGTTCACATTGGGTGATGTATAACCAACATTAAATGGCATTTAAGCCCACCACATCCACTAATTAATCAAGAGGTGGAGTATAGTGGTAATTAATGAGCTCCCTTTTTTGGTGAAATGTCTAAATGCTTTGTGTTGCTTGCATAACCAACAGCCTTTGTCTGACAGATAGACATCTGGAGTTCCACAAGAGGGCGCAGGGCGGTGGGTTTATTTATGCCCCTG